CAGCCGGGGGGGGCCTGAAAATAACCCAGGGGGACCCCGGGGCCGCGTGGCCCGGTTCCGACCCTTCCACGACATCTACGGATACTCGGGGGTGAGGGACCCCAAAAATGACCCAGGGACCCCACAAACATCCGGGGGGACCCCAAAAACAGCTGGGGGGGGCCCAAAAATAACCCAGGGACCCCAAAAACACCCGGGGGGAACCCAAAAATAACCCAGGGACCCCAAAAACATCCTGGGGGGGGCCTGAAAATAACCCAGGGACCCCAAAAACACCCGGGGGGACCCCAAAAATAACCCAGGGACCCCAAAAACACCCGGGGGGACCCCAAAAACATCCTGGGGACCCCAAAAACACCCGGGGGGGCCCCAAAAATAACCCAGGAACCCCAGAAACACACAGGGACCCCTAAAACACCTGGGGGGACCCCAAAAACACCTGGGGGGCACCAAAAACAGCCGGGGGGACCCCGAAAATAACCCAGGGACCCCAAAACACCCAGGGACCCCTAAAACACCTGGGGGGACCCCCAAAACACCTGGGGGCACCAAGAATATCCTGGGGGGACCCCAAAAACAGCCAGGGGGACCCCAAAAATAACCCGGGGACCCCAAAAATATCCTGGGGAACCTAAAAATAATCCAGGGATCCCAAAAACACCTGGGGGGACCCCAAAAACACCTGGGGGGACCCCAAAAATACCCGGGGGGAACCTAAAAACACCTGGGGGACCCCAAAAACACCCAGGGGACCCCAAAAATAACCCAGGGACCCCAAAAACACCCAGGGGGACCCCAAAAACAGGCGGGGGACCCCAAAAATAACCCATGGAACCCAAAAGCACCCGGGGGGACCCCAGAAACACCCGGGGGGACCCCAAATCCATGGGGGGACCCCAAATTTGGGGCACTCAAGGGGGTTTCGGTTGTTCCCCTCCCAATTCTGGGTGTCCCCAGGTGTCCCCAGGTGTGACCAGGTGTCCCTGTCCCCATCCCCAGGTGTCCCCAGGTGTCCCCAGGTGTCCCCAGGTGTCTCTCACCTGTCCCTCACCTGTCCAGGTGTTCATCTACAGCCCCTCCCCACACCGGGGGTTTCTCAGGGGGTGTCAGGGTGTCCCTGTCCCCATCCCCAGGTGTCCCCAGGTGTCCCCCAGGTGTCTCTCACCTGTGTCTCACCTGTCTCACCTGTGCAGGTGTTCATCTGCGGCCTGTCCCTGCATTGGCTGTTGCTCAGGGGGTGTCAGGGTGTCCCTGTCCCCATTCCCAGGTGTCCCCCAGGTGTCCCCAGGTGTCCCCAGGTGTCCCCAGGTGTCCCCCAGGTGTCCCCCGGGTGTCTCACCTGTGTCTCACCTGTTCAGGTGTTCATCTGCGGCCCGTCCCCGCACTGGCTGTTGCTCACAGGTCGCGGGGCTCTGCGCCTGCACCCCATGGCCATCGACGGCCCCGTGGAGTCCTTCGCACCTTTCCACAACGTCAACTGCCCCAAGGGATTCCTGTACTTCAACCGGCAGGTGAGCACACCTGGACACACCTGGGGACACCTGGGGACACCTGGACACACCTGGGGTACACCTGGGGGGGTCACTGTCACACCTGGGGGTGTCACTGTCACACCCGGACACACCTGGAGGAGCCAGGACCCATTTTGGGGTAATTTTGGGGATATTTTGAGGTAATTTTGGGCTGTTTGGGGTGATTTGGGGATGATCTGGGGACAATTCCAGAATAATTCCGGGATAAATCCGGGATAATTTTGGGTTGATTTTGGGATAATTTTGGGATAATTTTGGTCTGTTTTTGGCCCAGGGGGAGCTGAGGATCAGCAGCTGCCCCCGTACCTGTCCCACACACACCTCACCTGCCTGGGGATAAATCCGGGATAAATCTGGGATAATTCCAGGATAATTCCAGGATAAATCCAGGATAAATCCAGGATAATTTTGGGATAATTTTGGGATAATTTTGGGATAATTTTGGGTTGATTTTGGGCTGATTTTGGGATATTTTGGCCCAGGGGGAGCTGAGGATCAGCAGCTGCCCCCGTACCTGTCCCACACACACCTCACCTGCCTGGGGATAAATCCGGGATAATTCCAGGATAAATCTGGGATAATTTTGGGATAATTCCGGGATAATTTTGAGTTGATTTTGGGTTGATTTTGGTCTGTTTTTGGCCCAGGGGGAGCTGAGGATCAGCGTGCTGCCCCCGTACCTGTCCCACACACACCTCACCTGCCTGGGGATAAATCCGGGATAATTCCAGGATAATTCCAGGATGATTCCAGGATGATTGAGGGATAATTCCAGGATAATTTGGGGTTAATTTGGGTTAATTTTGGCCCAGGGGGAGCTGAGGATCAGCGTGCTGCCCCCGTACCTGTCCCACACACACCTCACCTGCCTGGGGATAAATCCAGGATAAATCCGGGATAATTCCAGGATAAATCCGGGATAAATCCGGGATAATTCCAGGATGATTGAGGGATAATTCCAGGATAATTTGGGGTTAATTTGGATTAATTTTTGGGGTCAGGGGGAGCTGAGGATCAGCAGCTGCCCCCATACCTGTCCCACACACACCTCACCTGCCTGGGGATAAATCCGGGATAATTCCAGGATAAATCTGGGATAATTTTGGGATAATTCAGGGATAATTTTGGGTTGATTTTGGGTTGATTTTGGTCTGTTTTTGGCCCAGGGGGAGCTGAGGATCAGCGTGCTGCCCCCGTACCTGTCGTACGACGCGCCCTGGCCGGTGCGGAAGATCCCCCTGCGCTGCACCGCTCACTACGTCGCCTACCACGTGGAGTCCAAGGTGAGCTCAGCTTCCTCCTCCTCCTCCTCCTCCTTCCTCTTCCTCCTTCCCTTCCCTCCCCCTTTTTTCTCCCCTTTCTTCCCCATTTTTCCTTTTTTTTCCCCCTTTTTCCCTTTTTTCTCCCATTTATTCTCTCATTTTTCCCATTTTTTCCTCTTTTTTCTCCCCTTTTTTTTCTTCTTTTTTCCCATTTTCCCCCATTTTTCCCTTTTTTCTCCCTTTTCCCCCCTTTTCCCCTTTTTTTCCCCATTTTTCCCATTTTTTCCTCTTTTTTACCATTTTTCCCCATTTTTACCATTTTTTCCCATTTTTTCCCCCATTTTTTTTTCTCCATTTTCCCCCATTTTTTCCTTTTTTCTTCCTTTTCCCCCTTTTCCCCTTTTTTTCCCCATTTTTCCCATTTTTTCCTCTTTTCTATTATTTTTCCCCATTTTTACCATTTTTTCCCATTTTTTCCCCCATTTTTTTTTCTCAATTTTCTCCCATTTTCCCCCATTTTTCCCTTTTTTCTCCCTTTTCCCCCCTTTTCCCCTTTTTTTCCCCATTTTTCCCATTTTTTCCTCTTTTTTACCATTTTTCCCCATTTTTTCCATTTTTTCCTCTCCTTTTTTCCCCATTTTTCCTTTTTTTCTCCCTTTTTCCCCCTTTTTTTCCCATTTTTCTCATTTTTTCCTCGTTTTTACCATTTTTCCCCATTTTTTCCATTTTTTCCCATATTTTCCCCCATTTTTTTCCCCATTTTCTCTCCTTTTTTCCCCATTTTTCCCTTTTTTCTCCCTTTTTCCCATTTTTTCCCTTTTTTCTCCCTTTTTCCCCCTTTTCCCACTTTTTTTTCCCATTTTTTCCGATTTCCCCATTTTTCTTTTTTTTCTCTTTTCCCCTTTTTTTTCTCCCATTTTTTCTTCCTTTTTTCCCATTTTTTTCCCCCATTTCCCCCATTTTTTCCCCATTTTTCCCTTTTTTCTCCCTTTTTCCCATTTTTTCCCTTTTTTCTCCCTTTTTCCCCCTTTTCCCACTTTTTTCTCCCATTTTTTTCCCATTTTTTCCCATTTTCCTCATTTTTTCCTTTTTTTCTCCCATTTCCCCTTTTTCTCTTTTTCCTCCCATTTTTTCTTCCCTTTTTCCCATTTTTTTCCCCGATTTTTCCCATTTTTTCCTCATTTTTCCCTTTTTTCTCCCTTTTTCCCCCCTTTCTCCATTTTTTCCCCCATTTTTTCCCCCATTTTTTCCCATTTTTTCCCATTTTTTCCCATTTTTTCCCATTTTTTCCCCCATTTTTCCCTTTTTTCTTGCTTTTTCCTCTTTTTCCCCCATTTTCCCTCTTTTTCCTCCCATTTTTTCTTCTCTTTTCCCCCATTTTTTCCCCCTTTTTTTCCTATTTTTTTCCCCTTTTCCCCCATTTTTTTCCCCCATTTTTTCCTGTTTTTTTCCCCTTTTTCCCCTTTTTTCCCCTTTTTCCCCTTTTTTTCCCTTTTTCCCCTTTCTCCTCCTTTTTTCTCCTTTTTTTCCCCTTTTTCTTCCTCCTCCTCCTTCTCAGGGGG